TATGGTTTCCTTCAAGAGTTTTTCTCAGACTTTGAGATACTCTAAAAGGATTTTTTATTGCTGAAAATAAGGAAATAAACATGCATTTAAAATGTTCCTACCATGCTTATTAGAAAGATAAAGTCACTCTTATGTGACAATAATAGTCCTTGGGTATTCAAAAGGCTATTTTCAGAGAAAAAGCAGACTTTGGCTATTATGAACATTTAATTCCTGAAGCAAGGTTGGGCTTCTGGGATGGGTTGGGTGGCTCCTCTGATACAAGTAAGGGGAAGGGAAATAAGAAATAGAGCAGTGGGCGGGGCACGGTGGCTTATGCCTGTAATCCTAGCACTCTGAGAGGCTGAGGCAGGAGGATAGCTCGAGGTCAGGAGTTCGAGACTAGCCTGAGGAAGAGCGAGACCCTGTCTCTACTAAAAATAGAAAAAATTAGCCGGGCATGGTGGCACATGCCTGTAGTCCTAGCTACTTGGGAGGCTGAGGCAGGAGGATCGCTTGAGCCCAGGAGTTTGAGGTTGCTGTGAGCTAGGTGATGCCACGGTACTCTAGCCTAGGCAACAGAGTGAGACTCTGTCTCAAAAAAAAAAAAAATGGAGCAGTGTCTGAAGATACCAGTCAAGGAAGCAAGTGCTATGGTAAGGGATGGCAGCAGGAATGAATGAAGGGAACTCAGAGATTGACACCTGACCCACCTCCCCTTTGCTCTTATCGCTGCCCATGACCGATGAGTTTATGGCAACCCAGGGCTCTATGGGATAGGGAGCAAAGTTCCAAGCAGAGGCATTGGGCAGCACAGCTAAGTTTATGTGAACACCTGGCCTCCTTTAAGTGAAAAGGTGAAAGTTCTTGACTTAATAAGGAAAGAAAAAAAATCCTATCCTGAGGTTGCTAAGATCTCTGCTAAGAACAAACCTATCTATGAAATTACAAAAGAGGAAAAAGAAATTTGTGCATAGTATACATAGGGTTCAATACTATTCGTGATTTCAGCTATCCGCTGAGGGTCTTGGAATTTATCCCCCATGGATGAGGAGGTACTGCTGTACTTGTTAATGTTTTTTTCTTTATAGATATGCTTCCACATCTGGGCCTGGGAAAAAAAAAAACGGCTTCCTATCAGAGGGCAGCTATTGACTATATAGTAAAACAACACATAGGAGTTCACAAGATTGTCCTTTAGGCTTTTTTTTTTTTTTTTTAAACACATGCCTCTTGACTCAGGGGAGTGAATTTGATGATAGCCTTTTTTTGTTAGAGAATAGAAAGCAGAGTGGCATATTGTAGAAAGCATGTACTTAGTCTTAACCAAATGGATGCTCTCAGCTAAGTTCCCTAACCTCACACAGCCTAAATTTCCTTATGTATAAAGTAGGGAAGCAATACCTACCTCATAGGATATTTGGGAGACTTGTGTGCCATAACGGATATTATAGTGCCTAGCATGTAATGGGTACCCAGTAAATACTGGCATCTATCCTCTTTCTTTCTCCAGTTCCCCCTGTGCTGGGCTTCAAGGCTTCATCTTGGTTTTATTCCTTGCCTTCTAGATTGTTTCCCAAGATTTATTAATTTTTCATTTCCACAATTCATTAATTCTCATTTCTTATTTTCCTTACCTGAATGTTTTCCGTTCTGTCTAAACATAAGCTGAAGAACCAGATAAGATTTGTATTAGGTGTTTACATTAAAGTTTTATTAAAGATGAATAGCATATCCTTCTCTATATTTCATGTAACTTTTTCAAAAAAGTTTTTCTCACTTTGTGACTACTGTGAATACACGGTTATAGTGCTATATATAGTTTTAACCTTATCACTTAAATCCATTTTCTATTTCAAGTAGTTTGATACTGAATAGAGTTTTAACACGGTGTGTGTATATATGTTATATGATTGCTCTTTGGCATTTAATTTTAATGTCATATATTGAATGGTTATGCTTTCCTTTTTAGTTAAATTAGTTTGAAAAGTATTTTATTCTAGGTGTTGGGTATATAGCAGTAAGCAAAATTGAGTCATTGACTTTGAAAAGCTTGCTTTCTAAAATGAAAAAATTTTTTCATATGTAAAATTTTTTATACTTTTTTTACTTTGCTCGTACATGTATATAGGCCATACATTGAGGAGTTTTTATAATAGAATATTATATTTTAGGGGAATAATTGAAATTAGAGCTTCAATTTTCAAATGCCAAAATTCTTGGATCAAATATTGATTTCATTACATTTGCCATGTTCTACAAAGTTACTATTTTATTTGCTACAGCTTAATTACTTATTTCATATAGAATATACTAGTTTTGGAGGTATAGCATTGACTTGCAAGTTGAAAATATCTTTCATTTATTCAGTAAATATTTTTTGAGGATCTCAAATACTCCTAGGTTCTGTCTTAAACCAACCTGGCACAGGAATTTGAACCCAGATCCTGGAGGCCAATATATTCCTATAAGAGAATCAGTATTTATTTGGGTTTAGTAACTGGGAGGAGGTCATTAGTGACCTTGGAAAAGAATTTCTTTGAAATATGTTTGGGAGAAGAAAAGCTTATTACAGGGGCTAAGGAAACAGAGTCATAAGGAAATTGAAGTGTCAAGTATAGGTGCTTCTTTGTGGTATTTTGGTAGCAGGAGACGGGAATTCACTCTAGTTCTTGAAAGTATACCAGAAACAGGGAGGTAATTTCAAAATAAGGGATATGTGAAGGTTGTAAGAGAGAGCAAGGAGTTGGGGATCAAGTGATTAAATACCTTGAAGAGAGAAGAGATAATGGAAACCATAATATCCCATAGGAACCAAAGAAGATAATTGTTAAGGCATAAGTAAAAGAGAATTAGACTTAGAAAAGCAGAGAGAAAACTTTTTGACACAAAAGAAAACGATGAGAATGATTGAAAATAAAATTATTTTAAGATGTAGAAATGGGATTATTAAGGTCACTCCCAAAAGATAGCCATTTATCTTCTCATAAAATAGAAGTCATTTGCTGAATGGAGTAGAGAGAGAGGGAGATGGAAACTTAAATAAGGAAAAGCATCTGCCATGGAAGCATATTGGAAATCAGTAGTTTCAGCAGTGACTCCCCAGTTGAAGTTAGCATGGATTTTACAGAGACCAATAGCATCCTCATGTTCTAAAGCAGGAGGAGTTGGCAAACTATAGCCTGAGGGCTACATCCCTCAGCTACATCCCTGTAGCCTGTGAGCTAAGAATGGTTTTTATATTCTTAATTGGTTGTAGAAAAACAAAGAAACAAAAGAACATGTGACAGAGACCTTAGATGGCTTTCAAAGCCTGAGATATTTACTCTCTGGCCCTTTATTGAAAAAGATTTCTAACCCTTGTTCTATAGCTCAGGACAAGAGAAAGCAGATGATAGTGTGACTCAGCTGGGAACTGACATGCTAGACATGATCAAAGATCAAGGGGTGGTAAAGGAAGGGGATACTAGTTAGAGGTTTGTTGGTGGAACATTGGGTGCAGGTTGAGTAGGGAATAAAGCAAAGCCAGAAGAAAGCCAATGGATTGGATGGAAATGGAATGGGCTTGTGGCTAGATGTCATAATGAGAATGTAAAGCATAGTCAGTTGGTTTGACGCAAAGATGACAGGTTGGGAAGTTGGAGGTCAAGAAAGGGGACACGAATGGTCATCTTGAAGATAAGAGAGTTCCAGAAATTGCCACGTATAACCATTTCAGGGAGTAGCTGAAATCTCCAATGATAAGATCAGGATGAAGAAGCATGATGGTCATTCCTTAAGATGATGACAGGGAGACCGTGTACGAAGAAATAATGTGACTTAGATTACTGCAGTTTATGAAAAAAATAGAAGTGAACCTGGAATGTAAGGTAGATGATGGTAATGAGGTAAGAAGAGGCTGGTGTAAGTAGGTAAACTTCTTACAAATGAGGGGGAAGATAGTGGTGGCAATGAAGTGGTCCTCTGTTTGCCCTAGCAGCTGAGGGTAGGCTATGCCTTCCTCTTGGTTTTGGAAGTGGTAAAAGGTAGGTAAAAAGGCTACAGTAAAGATGTGCTATTCTCTATCACAGGTCAGATTTACAGATACATAGTCTTTAGAATATGGGAGGAGCAAAGCAGTAGATTGGTTTCAGGTTGTAAAATGAAGTAGTTGATTTTTGCATAGATGTATAAATGTACACACTCCTTATAAAGAATTTTTGTTTGGCATTAGCACTTAAGTTTTTACTATGCAAAATTCATTTTCTATATTGAGATTATTAAGGAATTAATACTAAAAATATCTCTTTTTACTTAACTCTGAACATAGACAAAAGTAACTTGGCAGGTAACCTTCATTCAAAATATTAAAACTGGATTTGGGCTACTGAGTAACTAGTGGCTGCAAATCACTTGGGCATGATAGTGTTCTTTCCATGCCAACATTATGTAGGGTCTATATTGTACTATATGAAACTTTATTATTAGACATATATATGTAGGGACATAATATATTTTAGCCTTAAATATATAATTTTAATTTGTCAGTTATACCTCAGTAATGCTGAAAGAAAAAATCAAGAGCAAGGGAGTCTCCTGTCCTCTGAAAGATGAAACAGGAGCCCTAGGCAGTTGCTTTGCTATGTTTTTCTGTATCGATGTGCAAGATGATTCCTGTATATGGTATAATTGGATAGTATTTTCTGAAGGAATGACTCTTTTCTGTGCTAAGGACTAAAAATCTGGGAAGCAGCCAAAAGGCAAATTGCTAGAAATTTTCACTATGCTCAAAGTTACTGATTCCTCTCATAAAAGCCTCTTTATTTTTTTCTGGAGAATTAAACTGGTTTATTTCCTGATAATATGAAATCTTAAAATACCTAAAACTTCATTTTAAGTAGTATCTTTATTTTAGGTGGTTTCCAATGAATAACCTTTGGGAATGGTTTTAAAGGTCAAGTAAAACACTTTGAGTCTTAAGAAGACAATGCCTTAATTGTGTCATTTACTTTAATATTTTTTGTTGTGTTTTTTTTCCTCAGTTCCTATTGTGAAGAAAATAGCAAAACCACAGTCTTCTCCTTCCAAAGCGACCCAGCCTTCAATGCAGTCTCCACAGAAAACTGCTCTAGTATTGCCAACACAGCAGATCAAGAGATCAGGTCGAAGTAAATCAACTGAACATACTTCAGTTTCCAAAAAGGGCAGTTCTGTTAAAACTACCACACCAAGGAAAAAAGGGGTAAACTCAGGAAAAAAGGTTAGTTGTATCTCCTGCTAATTTGTATTGTAGGTCTTTGTAGTGCCTTAGTACTTACAATATACAATTTCAGAATTTACTAAGAGTATGATGAGGGACTTTAGGAATGTACTAAGAGTATATAGGCTCTTTAAGGTTTCATATAGCTATTGAGAGATTGATATTTCTTTGGGTAAATTTAAAACTTTTTATGGTGTTCTACTTCTTTAAAAGTACATTGAAAGTACCACATGGGTGATTTATGTTCAGGCTGGTTAATTTAAAACTCAGTATCCTTTACAAATCAATGTGAAGTGAATTTTACTGTATGTAAATTATACCTGAATAAACTGGTTTTTGGGGGGGTAGGAATCAATTTGATACATTCAGTAATGTTGGAATCACATCCTGTCTACTTTCAGCTACCTAAAGACACTAAAGAGTGAATGGAAGCAGACAGATTCTGGTGGCAGGGGGAGTATACACTAGGAGGAAGGGGTGTTATACAAAATGAGTTCCCATTTTTGTAGTTTTTAGCCTTGGATCAAGTGCACTTTGTGTAGCATATGAGGCAGCAGACGTATTAGTAGAAAATATTCTGAGGTATGTTTCAAATAATCTGAAAAAAAGATAGGAAAGGAGGAACAGAAGAACAAAGCACAGAGGAGACAGATAGAAAGCAAATAAAATGGTAGACCCAGACCCAAACATTTTAATAATTGTGTTAAAAGTTAGTAGACTAAACTCTCCAATTAAAAGGCAGATTGTTAAAATGGATTTTTCAAAAGACCCAAGTATATCCTGTCTACAAGAGATATACTCTAAATATAAAGACAGAATCTTCTCAGATCTGTTGGAACTGACTGAATTAAATTTCAGCGGTATTACCTTAATAAACATTCCTGAGTTCAGCCATCTGATACCAATATCTACAACATTTCTGTTTTGCTTCAACTGATGTTTGCTGTACGGAACAAAATAATACCATTTTGATTTTAAAATACATTGATACCGATATTTAAAAACATTTAAAATTTATAAAATAAAAATCAAAAGTCAAAACTATATATTTCAAATATAGTTATAAACATTAAAAAATCAAGCAGATTATTCTAATATAAATCATAGTAGATGAAATTTTTAAATAAAATTAAAAAGTTAATAGTGAAATTTAAAGGGAAATATTTTAAATGCATTTTAAAAATTAACATGCATGTATATTTTACAACTGCTGAAAAATTCTTTGTGATTAGTTGGTATAATGGTGAAGCTATAAAATAACTCCAAATAGTTTCTTTTGACTCCTTTATATTCTGATTCCAATGCTAATTTGATAATTTTGAAGAAATCTTCTTAAAAACATTATTTAATGGTGGGGAGGGAGAAAGGGACAGGTGTTATAATCTTTTTCATAATAAACTGTATTTTTTTGTTTGAAAGGCAACATTTCAGTTCACTTTTATCATCTTTAGGTTCATTATTTCTTTATGAAAAGATGAAGATTTTCATGCAGTTACCTATATCCCTGTTTCAGTACTTGTATGTTCATAGTTTAGTTATTCAGAATCTTTAGAGTAAAAAAATGATTCTTGTCAGCTGTCATTTTCTTTCTCCCCTTAAGAATTCTAGAAGTATAGAAGCACATTTTCTAAATAAATGTCCCTTTATTCAATTTGCCGTGTTAATGCAAATATACTATCTTGGTATATCTCAAGTCAAAGGATTCAGATTTTAGATTTTTTAAATATTGAAATAATGAGATTATCAACACAATAATTGTATTTCGGTACTTAAAAATAGTATCATTTACTAGAATGCTGTGAACTCAAATGACAATCATTAATTTAAGCAAATAAATTCCAACGATACTGAATGCTTTCCTATTTTTTACTCATTTGTCCCTGCCTTTTAAATGTTCTCTATTAATACCTTTTCTAGGCACAAGAGTCCCTTTTCTGATACTGGAGAGTCATGTTTGAAGGTAGCTCCTAGAAAACCCCAAGAGTTGATATAAAATAAACAAAACATTAGTGATGTCTAACAATGCCCAGAAGACATTTGGTTCTTGTGTACAGTAAGCATAATTTTGTATGGACTTCAGCAAGCCACTTATAATTTTGCCAAAATTATTTTATGTAATATGGAGAAATGCAGGCTAGACACAGTGAAGACTAAGTGAGCAACTGCTTTCTAAAGACAAGCTCTGTCTTTCTTCGCTGGGATTTTTTTTTTTTTTTTCTCTATTGGATATATTGCTCTGGGTTAGATATTTAAAGACTTTTCTTTAGCAGTGTGAAAAAACTTATCTTACAGGGGAACCTCAAAAAAAACAAGAACAAGTTTTAAAGTAAACTAAGTTGGCTAAGGTGTGATCAGTTGGAGCAAGGGATAAGGTAGAGAATCCTAGCCTTTTGGTCTCTTCCTCCCCTACCTGGACAGCTTGTGGGCCTCTGAGGAGCTCAATTTGGGAAGTACTGCAGTTTACGATACACAGGACTTTCCAACCTTGAGGACTTCTGATAACGGATAATTTTGTAAACCAACCATGGTCTGTAATTTTCTGACTTTCTTATCTAAGAATATTTTAATGGATGATGTATACTTATGTTCTTTTTTACCTTTTTTTAAAAATAGGAGAAATATCTTCCTGTGATGTGTTCTACATCTTCAACTTCTCTACATTCACTGCTCAGAAAACGTGGCGTTTCATATGATGAGGATGCTTCTGCTGGGACATCAAAAATAATAATGTCTACAGGTATTAGTATTTTTAAAAGAGCATAAAATTACTAATCTTTTATTCTGTATTATTTTCAGTGTCTTTGAAGTCCTGGAAATAAGAGCAAAAAAAAGATAGTAAACATTTCTTTTTTAAAATTTATTTCAAAATATCAAGAGGGTACGGATGTTTTTGATATATGGCTTGAGTCAGGGCTGTAAGTATGCCCATCACCCGAATAATGTTCATTGTACCTGTTAGGTGGGGTTTTTCCCATCCCTTTCTCCCCCTCCCCCCTGCTTGATTTCCAATGACTTTTACTTTCCTCTATGTACTCGTGTACCAGTCACTTCCAATTTATTAGAGAATACATGTGGTGTTTATTTTTCCATTCTTGAGATACTCCACTTAGGATAATGGTGTCCAGTTCCTTCCAAATTGCTGCAAAAGGCATTTATTCATCCTTTTTAATGGCTGAGTAGTACTCCATGGTATACATATATCACATTTTGTTAATCCATTCATGAATTAATGGGCACTTGGATTGATTCCACATCTTTGCAATTGTGAATTGTGCTGCAATAAGCATTCAAGTGCAGGGGTCTTTTTGATAAAATTTCTTTTCCTTTGAGTAAATACCCAGTAGTGGGATTGCTGGATTGAATGGTAGGTCTACTTTGAGTTCTTTGAGAAATCTCCATACTGTTTTCCGTAGAGGTTGTACTAATTTGCAGTCCCACCAACAGTGTATAAGTGTTCCTTTCTCTCTGCATCCATGCCAGCATCTATTGTTTTTGGACTTTTTATTAATAATAAAAGCCATTCTAACAGTAAGGTGATGTCTCATTGTGGCTTTAATTTGCATGTCCCTGATGATTAGTGATTTTGAGCATTTTTTCATGTTTGTTGGCCCTTATCTTCTTTTGAGAAGCTTCTGTTCATTTCTTTTGCCCACTTTTTAATGGGGTTAATTTTTTCTTGCTGATTTGATGAGTTCTTTGTAGATTCTATTTATTAGTTATTAGCCCTTTATCAGTAGTGTAGATTGCAAATATTTTCTCCCATTGTGTAGGTTGTCTGTTTGCTCTGTTGATTATTTTCTTAGCTCTACAAAAGCTTTTTAATTTAATTAAGTCCCATTTATTTATTTTTGTTGCTGCTGTAATTGCCATTGGGGTCTTAGTCATAAATTCTTTGCCTAGAGTGATGTTTAGAAGAGATTTTCCTACATTTTCTTCTAGAATTCTTGTGGTTTCATGCCTTACATTTAAGTCTTTTATCTGTCTTGAATTAATTTTTCTAAGTGGTGCTCTTTCTCCACTGGCGTCCTGTTTCATTCTTCTGCACGTGGCTATCCAATGTTCCCAGCACCATTTATTGAATAAGGCTTATTTTCCCCAGTGTGTGGTGTTGTCTGCTTTGTCAAAGGTCAGTTGGCTGTAGGTAGGGTGGTTTTATATCTGGGTTCTTTATGCTGTTCCATTGATCTATGTCTCTATTTTTGTGCCAGTACCATGCTGTTTTGTTTACTATAGCTTTGTAGTATAGTTTGAAGTCTGGTAATGTGATGCCTCCAGCTTCGTTCTTTTTGCTTAGGGTTGCTTTGACTATTCACAGGCTGTTTGCTGGTTTCAAATGAAGTGTAGAATTACTTTTTCTAGATCTGTGAAATGTGCCATTGGTATTTTGATGGGGATTGCATTGAATCTGTAAATCACTTTGGATAGTACAGACATTTTAACAATGTTGATTCTATTGATCTGTGAGCATTATATGTTTCTCCATTTGTTTGTGTCATCCACGATTTCTTTCCTTTTATGTTTCGTAGTTCTCCTTATAGAGATCTTTGACCTCCTTGGTTAAGTATATTCCTAGGTATTTTATTGTCTTTGTAGCTATTGTGAATGGTATTGAGTCTTTGATTTGACTCTTAGCTTGACTGTTATTGGTATATAGAAATACTATAGACTTGGGTACATTGATTTTTATATCCTGAATTTATCAATTCCAGGAGATTCTTAGTGGAGTCTTTGGGGTTTTCTAGATACAAGATCATATCGTCAGCAAAAAGTGATAGTTTGACCTCCTCTTTCCTGATTTGGATACCCTTTATTTCTTTACTGATTGCTCTGGCTAGGACTTCCAGCACTATGTTGAATAGAAGTGGTGAACTTGGGCACACTTGTCTTGTTCCAGTTCTTAGTGGGAATGCTTTTAACCTTTCCCCATTCAGTATGATGTTGGCTATGGGTTTGTCATATATGGCCTTTATCATTTTGAGATGTGTTCCTTATATGCCTAGTTTGTTGAGGGTTTTTATCATGAAAGGGTGCTGAATTCCATTGAATGCTTTTTCTGCATCTATTGAAATGATCATATGGTCTTTGCTTTTGTTTATGTAATGAATTACATTTATTGCTTTATGTATATTGAACCACCCTTGCATCCCTGGGATCAAGCCCACTTGGTGATGGTGGATTATTTTTTTGATGTGCTATGAAATTCAGTTTGCTAGTATTTTATTGAGGATTTTTGCATCTATATTCATAAGGGACATTGGTCTGTAGTTTTCTTTTTTTGTTGTGTCCTTACCTGGCTTTTTTTCAAGGTGATACTGGCTTTGTAGAATTGAATTGGGGAGGATTCCCTCCTCCTCAATGTTATGGAATAATTTCTGCAGTATGAGTACCAGTTCTTCTTTGTAGGGCTGGTAGAATTTGGTGGTGAATCTATCTGGTCTGGGCATTTTTTTTTTTGTTGTCAGAAGACTTTATTAATGCTTCAAACTCACTGCTCATTATTGGTCTATTCAAGAGTTCTGTTTCTTCCTGATTGAGGCTTAGAAAGTTGTGTGTTTCCAGGAATTTGTCCATTTTCTCTACATTTTCTAGTTTATAGGCATAGAGATTTTCATAGTATTCCAGATGATGTTTTTTATTTCTGTGTCATCAGTTGTGATATGTTCCTTTTCATTTCTCATTGAGCTTATTTGGGTCCTTTCTCTTCTGTTCCTGGCTAATCTAGCAAGAGGTCTATCTTGTTTATCTTTTCAAAGAACCGACTTTTTTTTAATTGACCTTTTGTATTATTTTTTTTTTGTTTTCCATTTCTTTTAGTTCTCCTCTGACCTTTGTTATTTGTTTTCTCCTGCTGGCATTGGGTTTGGTTTGCTCATCCTTTTCTAGTTACTTGAGATGTGATATTAGGTTGTTAATTTGTGATCTTTCTGACTTTTGGATGTTGGCATTTAAGGCTGTGAATTTTCCCCTTACGTATGCTTTTGCTGTGTCCCAAAGATTATGATAGCTTTGTCTCCTTTGTCATTCAGTTCAAGGAATCTTTCGATTTCCATCTTAATTTCCTCCTTGACCCAGTAATCATTCAGTATCAAGGTGTTTAATTTCCATGACTTCGTGTGGAATTGTTACTCTTAGAATTGATTTCTAGTTTTTTTTTTTCTTTTCTCCTAAGCCTGGTTAACAAGTCCAAACGATAACTAGTTTTAATCCACTATGGTCTGAGAAGATACATGGTATGATTTCAATTTTTTAAAATTTTTTGAGACATGTTTTATGGCCTAAGATATGATCAATCTTGGAGAATGTCCCACGTGCTGATGAGGAGAATCTATATTCAGTAGTTTTTGGGTAGAATGTTCTGTAAATATCTGTTAGGTCCATTTGTTTTAGAGTCCTGTTTAAGTCTGATGTTTCTTTATTTATTTTCTGCTTTGATGGTCTATCCAGCTCGAATAGTGGGATATTGAAGTCCCCAGCAATTGCGATGCTATTGTTTATTTCCTTGCTTAGATCTGGTAGAGCTTGTTTTATATATCTGGGAGTTCCTGTGTTAGGCGAATATACATTTAGGATTGTTATGTCTTCTCATTGAATTGCTCTCTTTACTGTTATATAATGACCATCTTTGTCTTTCTTTACCATTATTGATTTAAAGTCAATTTTGTCTGATATGAAAGTGGTTACTCCTGCTCTCTTTTGGTTTCCATTTGCATGAAATATTTTTTTCTATCCTTTCACTTCGAGCTTGTTTGCATCCTTGTGGTTTAGATGTGTCTCCTGGAGGCAGCAGGTATTTGGGTTGTGTTTTTTCATCCATTCAGTCAGCCTATGTCTTTTGAGTGGCGCATTCAAGCCATTAATGTTAAGAGATAGAATTGCTATGTGTGATGCTGTTCTGTTCATCATAATTGGTAGTACCCTGTTGCTTTGTTTTTCTTCTTGTGCTGTTGTTTTATAGGCGTTGTGAACTTTGGCTATTTTCGGTGATTTTACGCTGATGGGTATCTGTGGTGCTGATTCGTGTATGACGCAGTTCTGAGTGTTTCCTGCAGGGCAGGTCTGGTCAAGACAGATTCCTTCAATGTTTGCTTGTCTGGAAAAGGCTTAATTTCTCCATCAATTGTGAAACTTAGTTTTTCAGGATACAAAATTGTAGGCTGGCAGTTTTTCTGTTTAAGAAGATTGAAGATGGGGGCCCACTCCCTTCTGGCTTGTAAGGTTTCTGCTGAGAAGTCTGCAGTTAGCCTGTTGGGTTTTCTCTTATAGTTAGTTGTTGCTTACATCTAGCTGCTTGTAGAACTGTCTCTTTCATTTTGACTTTGGCCAGGTTGATTACTGTGTGTCTTGGAGATGTCCTGTCTGCTATGAATCTTCCCGGTATTTGATGGCCATCTTGTATCTGGATGTCTGGATCTCTGGCGATACCAGGGAATTTTTCCTCAGTAATTCCCTTGAATAGAGTTTCCATGTTTTTATCTGTATCTTCTTGTCCCTCTGGGATACCTACAATTTGTATGTTAGTTCACTTTGCGTAGTTCCCTGTCTCTCTAAGTGATTGCTCTGCCTTTTTTGTTCTCTTCTCTGCCTCTTTAATGACTGGGTTAGCTCCAGAGCCTTGTCGTCAAGCTCTGAGATTCTTTCTTCTCCTTGGTTTAATCTGTTGCTGAAACTTTCTGCTTTGTTTTGAAATTCCCTAAATGACTCTTTTATTTCTTTAAGTTCTATTATATCCTTCCTTATTTTGTGTAGTTCTTTAGTGACTTTTTCATTAATTTCTTGAAATATTTTGTTGGTTTCTTTTTGTTGGTTTTCAACTTTCTCTTCAGTTCCACTCATCTTATTTGCCATCCATATTCTGAATTCCATTTTTGTCATTTTGACAATTTCCTTGTAGTTGGAGTTCACTGCCATAGCTCCATTATGATCCCTTTGAGGGTGTCATTCTGTTTTGATTTTTTATGTTGCCTGGGTTCCTTTTCTGATTTCTTCTCATCTGAAACCTCTTTTCTCAACTCAGGGCTAATAGGTTTGTAGGGCACCTGTTCCTTACTGGGAACTGTCCTGCTTGATTCGAAGAAGGGGAGGTCCCTAGATAGCGCTGTTTCCCCCCTACTCTGGAATGTTGACGTGGCAGAGGAAGGGCGTGTGCGCTAGAAGCCTCTAATGCAGCTGTTCTGATGTGTTCTGCTCGCTTGTGATTGCCTCTGCTCAAGCCTGTGCTGAATGCTGTTTGTGTTGGGTGTTGGGTTGTCCACCAGATAGTTGTAGGATGTTTGAGTTGGGAGCTGGGCGAGACCCTCTTCACTGAGGCTTATGTTGTGGGGATTGCTCTACCCAGGGTCTCCTCACAGGGGTGATAGTAACAGCTAGGTGAAGCTATCTAGGCAGTCATTGTGGATTCCCAGGCTGTGGGCGTTCGCTCAAACCAGGTTGCAGTGTACTGGCAGCTCGAGTCTGGGGATCCCTGGCAGAGGGCATTGGACTTTGGAACAGTTCCTCCAACCCTGTAGCAGTGGTGGAGGCTCTGGGGAGGCTCTGGGTTGGAGTCTTGGGGTCCAGGTGCAGTGCTGGAGTCTTAGGGATGGTGTCTTAGGCCTGGCAGGAGCTCTAGAGGCCCAGAGGCAGAGCCTTGGGCTCTGGTGTGAGAGCCTCAGAGCTGGGACTGGGGAGGAGCCCAAAGCAAGCCTTCTGAGCAGGGCCGCGGAGCCATGTGGGTGACAGGGCTGACCCGACCTGGAGGGTGGGGTCAGGGCCAAGCAGGCAGGAGGCAGTTGGGACCTGGAGGGCGGAGTCAGGGCCAAGCAAGTGGCAGGCTGTTCCGCAGGTTTGGGGACCACCTGGATGCCAAGTCACATGGGCAGAGGTTGGTTCCAGCTGCCCAGGGACCGCGGAGTTCTCCCCACCCTCCCCAGAACCTGACGAAGCAGTCGTCCAAAGCCTCTCAGGTCAGAGCCTGCTGTGCCCCAGTCAGTTCCCATGCTCAGATTCCATTGCCCTGTAGGGGAGAAGTGCTTGGCTCTCAGTCACAGGATATAGCTCAGGGAAGCCTCCCATTAGTCCACTCCCTCCCCAGCCCGGTGCCAACATGGCACTGTGCACCTGAGAGCTCGGGATGGCTTTAGCTGCTGCCCGATCTCCACCGCGCCTGTTGTCTGGTGCTATGACTTTGCACAGACTCCAGGCAGGTCCTTGGTCTGACCAGACAGAGGTAGCCTTCTCACAACTTGCACAGTGCCAGCAGGGTGAGCGCAGTGCCCCAACACTCTATCTTCCTATTCTTCCCTGCATGTTCTTTGATCTTGTTATATATATTGCCCCATCATTTTTTTTCTCCACACTGAGTGTCCTGCATTGCTTTTCTGTGATTTCACAATGTTGCTTCAGAGAAGAGGTATTTGAACGTAGACAGCTGACTGCATTTTTCACTTCTTTCCTTGGGACCGGCATTCTGTCAGACTGCTTCTAGTCTGCCATTTTTTCCATCAGTGAACATTTCTTTTAGCATTTTTATATTAAAGTATTTTGAAATTCTGATTGTTAAATTTGATGTTAAGGAAAACATTCTGTTTAAATACATGAGTCACTTGAAAATTCAGTGATCCTTAAAGTATTTTATGCATTTAAGTATGCATTTAAGTAAGAAAGTTTACATCATTGTCAAATCTATTCTTGTTTTCTCTTTATCTCATTTCAAAATTTATCTTTTTGTATTATGTATATTTTCAAAACTACCTCAAACCTTGTTTTAATGTCTTTTCAAAATACTTTTTCTTGACAGGTCCTTGCTTGCCAAGGGGCATGGTGACTTTAAATTATTCTTTACTATGCGAAGAGTTTGAAATGACACAGACCCAGACAAATCAATCCGTTTTATTTATCACTTGTATATTCTCTTACTCTTTTCCTGATTTTCAAAAGCATGTTCTGTTGCTTCCTCTTAGATCCTTAATTATCTCCCTTATATTCTTGTATTCTCTGGACTTTTTTCCTCCAAGTTTTTCTTTTCTGACCAAAATGAAATTATAATTTAGTTTTTTTGAAATCCAGGTCATTTTAAAAATGATTATTGTAACATATCTCATTTTTTCAGTTCATTATTTCTGATTTTTAATCTATTAGCAAGAAGAGACTAGCTAAATGAATATAACACAGAGGAGATAAAACATTGAAATACTTGTTTAGATTCATTTGTGTTTAGTACAATTTTGTCCATGCCATAAGCACCATGGCTTGAGTTTTTAACAGCTGTTTTATTTCTGTGACAGTCTACCCCTTCCTCTGGCTATTACCACAAAGTTGAATTATCATATATTTCAACATAGCAAAATTGAGATTAATAGGTTTTTATTATCCTAAATATAGACTATACATATGAAATTTTTACAATATTAAGTAATGGATTAAAAATAATGTGCTTCTTGATTTAGGGAGACAGTATATTTTTATTTTGGTAATGATGCACCCTCATTTTTAGAGTGTATATTGCATTTGTTGATTCTCAGTAAAATTATTGAAACTCAACATTTGTGTGATTATAGATGAATTACTTCTTTATCATATGCTTTCATTATCCTAAGGAAAAAGTTTATTTTGAAATTTTCTTTGGTGAACCTTGGTATATATATTTAGAAGGAACATTTTTATTTTCTTAAAATTAACAAAATAAATTTCTCTGTCCTTAGAACTTACTGTGATATATATCTTCTTGGTTACTTTAGAAAATACAATTGAGGTGCAATATTGGTGATTTAAAAGAAATTCAGTCCAAAAACAAGTATACCAATATGACCAATTTTGAAAGGAAATTCTTGTTTATCTGTCTTTGTGTCATTTTATATAACATGGGAATGTATGAAGAACTATTTTGTGATGCTCCTAAACCTTATATACTTTTTATATAATCAGTTTGGACAAGATTCTAAAAAATTGAATAAACATTTTGATTATTTCTTTGTAGGTTTAGTATCTTTACATGAATGTGCAAATACATTTATGTACATATTTTTAGGTAGCAGAAATGATTATTATAGTGATTATATTTAAGTTCTCTTTGAGTAAAGTGATTAATGGGATATAGTAATTAATTATGTAGTGTTTTCACAAAATTCCTTTTACCAGTCTCATTATTTGTTATGTGTATATATACATTTTTCTTCAAGTCTGTGTCTATGTAAACAAACATGGAAACTGTGGCCCTCACCTGGATCCAAAGAAAATCCAGCAGCTGCCTGACCACTATGGCCCAGGCCCGGTGAATGTGGTGCTCCGCCGGACCGTGCAGGCCTGTGTGGATTGTGCCTTTCAGAGTAAGACTGTTTTTGGATTCCTTAAGCCAGATCATCGTGGAGGAGAAGTGATAACTGGTATACTCATCCTTTATTCAGCTTCTTTTCCAAATTTGAGTTAGGTTTCAAGAAGGCTAGGGTTTTATTTTATATTTTAAGTTATCCCATGACAGATTAAGAAGGCTAGGATTTTATAATATATAGACTATAGTTTTATATTAACTATAATATTATAATATTGTATTGGATTATATAGTTACAATACATATTTATAGACTTTTAGCCCTGGTTTGGAAAGTTTACTTTCAAAATAGACAAATGACATCAGAGTAATACCATAAATTGAGGTAAAAGGTACGGACTTTTCCTTTGACATGCTTTGTTATGCTCACTATAGACAGAGTACCTTGGTTGATACTTTAATGTTTATAGAAAATAGACTGATTTATAAGAAGTTCTAAATAAAAATGTGACTCAAGAAGTCATTAAGAGATAAGATACAGCTGGGTGTCTTCTATGATTATGTGATCAGATACCACAGCAATTGTACCCATGGAATGTTTGGAATAGAAGCAAGTTTTATTATAGGTCAGTGAGTTTCTCTTGTTCTATTTCTATTTTTGTTTACTTTATGAATATTTTTAAATGAGAATGTTTTTACCAGTATAGGCTATGTGTTTGAGTGAGAGAGAGGAACTTTTATAATTTAAGATTATTCCTTTATGAATTATAAAAGCCACAAATTAGACTTATAATACATTTCCTAAATTGATGGGATTTTTTGTTAGTGTTGTATTTCTCATCTTTGTGAGATGACTCTGACATCTTTCTTTTCCCCCTCATAGCCTCTTTTGATGGGGAAACTCATTCCGTTGAGCTCCCTCCAGTGAATAGTGCATCATTTGCTCTTCGCTTTCTTGAGACCCTTTGCCACACCATGGAGTGTGATAACTTTTTGAGTAGCCAGCCTTTTAGCTCTTATAAGGGTAATACTCGTAGCCCTGTAGAGCCTGATAATAAACCAGGTGAGAGAAAATGTAAATTTTTATACTATACTTGTATTTAACATGAGAATCTTGTATAATTCAGAGTTTTTCCTTATGTCCTCCTGAAAGTAAACATTTTAGCCATAATGAACTAATGAGAAATGTATAATATATAGTTGTTTTTATTCATTCAAAGTGGGAAAGTAATTTCTTGTTGTATTCATAATAAACTTGAGCATCAAAGCCAGTGGGTTATGTTTGGCTTCTTTGTGACTAGCTCACAGAGTTACACATTTTCTATTAGACTGAAATGTGGCTTTAAAGTTACTGACCTTTATAATCTTAAAAAGTCAGAAAAGCATGTTAAGCCCATTGGCTATAAAGATGAAGATTCTGTTACAGGCATTGAGAGATGTGACAAATGAGTGATATGCTCGAATTTCATTTTTCAGCCATGGTTGCCTCTATTCCATAAGAACCCCAAACTGATGCCTGAATAAGAGGGTGGGTGTAGGCTAGTCCTGTAGAACCAAAAGCAGGTTTCTTGCTTCTGATCCATAAAGCTAGAAAGCTCTTTGAGTTTAAATGTTCTTTGTTATTTGGGAAGGATTTGTCCCTTTTTCATCTGACTCATGAAAGCTAACCATGTTCTACTTATCATGGCAGGATTATATGTGGGTCTTTCAAGAGTAGCTGAAGTTCTCAGGTATTATATCCCCATGGTTTTCTGGCCAGGTGCTGCTGATTCTGGAAATACAGAGTACCATCACAGACTCTCTGTTTAAGTCTAGGGATTTTAATTCACATTCCACTCAAATATAAACCTTGGGTACCATCTCTAGTTACTCCTCTTTTTCTGGTCCTCCCAGTTACCCACACTTTTCCTCATATTCAGTGAGGTCTCTCGTATGTATCCCCTTCTTGCCATTTTCTTGTCACTACCTGCTTCAGAACCCTATTAAAGCATTCTCTGATTTAGTAAAGAAGTCTCCTAACTGGAAACCTTTTTCCAGTTTCTCCCATCTGGTGTAGCTGCCCAGTGAGTCCTTCTGAAATAAAGGTATGATACTTACTGTGACATCTGTGTAAAAGTATACATGGGTAGGCAGCGGAATGGAAGGAGCACAGATGTTAGAGTTTGTCAGACCTGGGCTCCAGTGCTGACCTTATAATCTGTATGCTGAAAGGGCATGAAGTCTGACAGGCCTGAATTTTAATCCAATTCCTGTTGTTAGCTAGCTGTGTGCCCATAGACAAAATACTGACTCTCTGAGTCACAATTTCCTTATCTGCAAAGTGGATACCTCTTGAGTTGTGAGACTAAAAGAAAGTATGTGTAAACTCTTAGCTTGCTTTATGTCTGGCATGAAATAGAAGCAATGAAAGGTAGCTGCCAGAACTAGGGGGAAGAGGAAGAGTAAAAGTTCATGTTCTCATGTGATATCCTTTTTTTCCTCCTTCAGAAGAAGTGAGAGGTCATCAAAAATGGTAGGAAAATTGGAAGATAGCTAGAAAGGGAATGGCTACCTGTGTAGGAGGAGAGCTGCGTGTGTGTGTATTTGATAGATTTTCTAAGAGTAATTTGGTGGGGGGCTGGGGGTGGGAATGAATTAGAGAAGTTGAGGTACAATTTCCTGATTTCTTACACAAATCATTAAGAAGAATGCCAGTGATTTATATAACCCCATTCTTTGAAAGATTTTAAAGAAACTGTAATTCTTCTTTTCAAATTGAACACAGAATGTTTGAATTTTCAGATTAATCAAATAACTGCAATAGATAAGTATTTGAAAAAAATATACAGAGTAATCATAAATAATATTTTAAATTATTCTAAGGTTTTATTAGTTTTCTCTTGTGGAAAGCTTAATTTAGCCATTTGAAAATGGCTTTGAACTGGAACATTTATGTTAGTTTTTCTTAAGTCAGTTTGTAGTTAAAGAAGTTGCATATAAATGTTGTAAAGTTGATTCTTTCTTACTAAGATTTCATGTCCAGTATCCCATTTATCTTTCATCTTTTGAATAAGTGACTCAAAAATATTAAGACAGTACTCTTCTCAGGAGACTTTGATTCTCACAAATCCAGTGTTTTCATATTTTAGCACTAGTCATTTTTAAGACATTTTACTAAAGTATAATACATACAGAGAAAAATATACATAGAATACAGCTTGGTTAATTTTCACGAAGTGAACACACCTGTATAACCAGTCCTTGGTTGAAAAAGTAGACAATAGACCATACGCCAGTGTCATAAACTTCATAAAGAAAGCATTAGTATATTACAAATAAAAGATAAGTAAAGACTTTTTCTAATTTTGCTAAGGTTCTAAAGAAACAAATATCTATGGAAAACTACACTGTAGCACTAGAATTTTACATATCATTAAATGGGTATGACAAAAGCCAATTTCTTTCCTTAGACTTTAAATGTCTCAATTAATTACAGAAATATTTGTCGTGCACTGTTTTGCCTGTTGGTTTTGTAGCCCATGATTGAAAATAAAGCTCAAGTGGTAAGAGGTCTTCTGTACTCATTTGTATTCAGTTAGTAGCTAGATTGCTAAAGGTTGCTCATCATATGATTTCGACGTACCCAGCCAAAACTTTGAGCCAGATGAAGTTTGACTTTGGTATTTCCTCATTGCAATCTCCCTTCCCTTTTGAGGTCTATTATCAGACTTTTTAGATTTCTATTATACCTTATTTTTCCTTTTAGTTGGAAGTTAAACCAAGATATTGGTTGATACTTAGAGTATAATTGTCTTCACTTTCATAATCATGCTTTAAAGAGTGATCCTTTAGGTAGAAGTGCATTTGGTTGAATAATAAGTAAACAATAAGTTGTAAGGGTAGCCCTAAGGCCAGGATTGTTGTCTACAAAATGGGGTATCCATTGTACCATATCTTCTCTTTAACTTTTCTTAACTCCTCTAGCTCATGGGAACAATTTTTCCAGGCCTTTTTAGACACATAATAGGTTGTCTCACTGCCTTCTGAGGTATTTAGAGAGATCTGATGACCTTAGAATAAAGAAGCCTAGACATACTCCTGCTGGAAATGCTTTTAACTCTTGAATATTATTTCAGTGGAAATATTTAACAGGATGAAATAAACATGCATTGTGTACAAATAATTGACAAACTGTTGATGAAGTTATAATAGGCAGATGATTTAGAAACAAGTATTTCATGCTGATATGAAAATGCTTGCGTATATAACTCACTATAACAGAACCTTTATTTTTTTTAAAAAAGCAATAAAAGAAGAGATATTAGAAAAGAAAAGCACCAAACGATCTCCTGAACAACCTCTACCTTCTGTTGTTCCTCTCTCTCCTAAGTTACCCAAAACAGAGGTGTATGCATGTGAAGGTAAATGGCATTTCCGTGTCCCAGGATTGGGAAGAAAAGTTCTTCTACTGCCACTTAACATATACTTTTGGGGTGGTGGTATTAGGGGTAGGGAGGTGTATTTGCTGGCAATTAGGCTACTACTTTGGCAGCTTTGTTGAACACTTCATTCCTTTGAGAAGTACGCAGCTGTCATTTCTCCTTAGATATAAAAAAATAATTGTAATAACCTTTTCCATTCAGTCTTATATTTCTAGAAACTGGTAGAAAGAGGAACAGAAAAACCTAGCACCTTTCTCTAGTGAAAGTGTTAACTGCCCAAGTAGTAAGCAAATGTTAGAAACCAATTGTATGATCATATTATAACAAATAGTCACGAAGAACTGCCTTCCTAAAAATGAATGCTTTAGTGAGTTGTTCACAGCTTTGGTGGCAAGACTGACAAGGGATAGTAAGTTACCATGGAAAATATAAGTGATGTCGTAGAATAAATGTGTCCATTGGTATAAATGCCAAGTAGGGGATGGCCATGTACTTAGAGGTTTGTGGTTCCGTATAGTATCAGTTAAGTGAACTGTTGTTGGGGATGAGATTTTTGATCTTTTAATAGTATCTGAGCTATAAGTCTATTGAAGATAACTTTCTTTGTTTCTTTCCCTGTAGAAAAAACAGTATCTCCTGAGGGAAATGACATGCCCAAAGAGGAAGAGCTTCCTGAAGATGCCGAGAATTTGTCACTAAATTCAGGAAGTTCTTTGAATCCTGCCTGTAGAAATCTTACGTTTACTCATACTTCAGTCTCGGGAAATTCTTCTCAAGATATGCCAGGCACCTCAAGTTCAGCACCATCCACCCAGAGCAGTTACCATGAAGTTAAATTCCAAGCGCAGACGAAAAATGAAGGTATATTCAAAAACAGTGATTCTCAACCAATGTGTTTGTCTTTCCTCTTGAGGTTTCCATGCCCAGCAGTATCCCCTGAGAGTGTATCACATTGGAGAAAGTGCCAAAATTGGGGAGAACAAGTCCTGCCTTTACATCACTATTAGGGTCAAACCATTATAGATGCCCCAATCCTCATAGCATCACAGAACTGTCTCTGGGGATCTGGATCATCAACCATTTCTCTGTCTCTGTTAGAGACTTCTCAGATTAGTGGTTCTTGAATAGTTGTAATTTATCATTTCCTTGGGTACTGTCTGGACTCAAAAACCTCCCATGACTCTGGGGACTGGAAAGACACACTCCCTCTCCCTACTTCTGGTGTACTTTCTTCTTTCTCTCTCTTGAGATTTTTCCTGGCCCCAGCCTGTGTGTGGCTCCTAGATGTGAGCTCTGGCATCCTATTGCTGTAGCCACACCATTTCCACATTGTCCGTATCCTCTCTCAGACCCACCAGGAAGACATGGCATGTATAAACAGGGCAGTATCCTGTTGCCACTTGGAAAGAGGCAGAATAGCCTTCCATGTACAAAGAGGGCTAATACCCTGTACCCTTTTAAGGATTAAGGGTGAAGGATACTAAGGGTGGGAATAAGTATTTTGTCCTTTTTCTCCAAGTAGGCATCTAGGCAAAGTCGAGGAGTGAAGGCAGTGGAAACCAAATAAGTCCCTTGCCTTTCATCACGGATGTTATCTATGGGCAACCACACTGCGCACATGCTGTGACACAGTGTTATCACCCTTATCCCTCACCCCTCTCTGGAGATTGTCTCTACTTTTAGAATGACATGCTTTGCAGAGAGTCTAAAGATAGATGCTTATTCAATAAGGGGTAGTATACCATGAATTTTTTTTTTATTTCTTATTGTTGCTTCATTTTTTAAATTTGATAGATTTTTTTTTATTTCAGCATATTACGGGGGTACAAATGTTTAGGTTACATATATTGCCTTCGCCCGACCTTAGTCGGAGCTTAAGCGTATGACCTTTTGAAGACAGGCCTTCTCAGTAAAAGGCTCTACAAGGTTATTTCTAATACCGAACATCTTCCAGATATTTGCCTAATCACTATTGTGCCAAAGTAGCCTGGATTTGGGCTTCAGAAGGCTAGCCTCTGGTCTTCCTAGCAATGGAAAGACTAAGAGTAATAACATTACTTACTGGTAATTTACTTAATGGTAATAGAAATGGTAATTTACTTAATGGTACCAATGGTATTAAATGGTAATAGAAATCATCATCATCTTCATTACTATCTGACATTATATGCCAGGCACATAATATTTTATATGGCCTCATACGTTATATCATTACAACAATTCCTTGAAATGTAGGTGCTGGTAAACATTTTCAGGTGAGAAATCTGAAGTCATTTGGCTAAGGTCCCTCAGCTAGAAAGTGGCTGGGCCAGTCCTTGAACCCAGACACTCTGGTTCCAGGGCCACACTCTTAACTCCTGTGTTGCCTGCATCTCTAGAGAATAGGTAAGCCTTTCACTTGAAATTGTCTAGAGATATCTTTACTATTATTTTCTTTGAGGCATTGGAACTGTTACTTAAAGCTGAACCTACCCCTGACAGCCAGTGATGCTCACACAACATTGATTATTTGAATGAAAAAAACTGCTGACCTTTTATTATAGGAAAGAAATCTAATAACATTTTTGGGCAGGGGAGGAATCACTTTCATTATATTTACTTCAGAAATATTTATTGATATCCCAATATATATAAGACAGAGCCATTCAGGAGAAAAACATGACTAGACTTTATTTTCCACATGATTAGTTTGTTTCATATAATTATTCTAATAATAGTAATGTAATGTTTACAGACTTCTCTGATTGTTTTGAAGATAAAAGCCCAATTAAATTATTCTTCCATAATATACTATAAATAGAAAATCTTATAGTTGTTTTACTTTTAGTGTAAAAATAGTTTTATACCAGAAATCATATCTTTACGTATAGTTTATCTGTAGTAATCTGTAAAACTAGTTACATGTTATTCAAGACATAAATATACCAGATTCTGATGACAGAAACCAGAAATCCCACAAAAATTTAAGTTAATTTAGAGAGATGATTAGCCTTGCCAATAATTTTTTAGTGTTAAATTACATCTTCGTTGAGTTAAAGGAGATGGTGTTTCTGTCTAAATTGTCAGAATGCCTTAGGCCTGGCATGGTCTATACCATTATCGTTTTTACTTGGGTTGATACAGCCCAGCAGAATTTCTTGGTTGATAGGACCAACATTTTTTTTTCTGACAAGTGGAAAGGAGGATATATTTTGGTATAGAGTTTTTATTTCACATTATAGTTGTGATATTGGAAAGAAAAGAAATAAAATTCATAGTCACACACACAAAATAACCATTTTGAGTTCTTTTATCTTCTGTTTTTCTTTACCCTTCCCCTGGGTAAAATGGTCCTAAAATGGCCAAAGTCCAGATGATAGGAAAGAAGCGGTATGCCTTTGGCTAATTCACACGCAAAAATAACCCCATCAAAATTGTGTTGACAGTCCTTGCTTGGAGAAACAAGGCTAAGTACAAAACCCACTTCAGTTATCACACACTTACTTTAGGGAGTTGAGAGCTCTGGTTGAGTAAATGAATACTTGTCAGGACACAGATTTCATCACAGTTTAGTGAAGAGCACAGCTAAAACCGTTTGAGGTGTGATCACTTAAATTGTTTCATGTTTGTTAATTTGTTTTTTAGACATATAAACCTTCAACCGGAATATCTATTACTATGCAATTAAACATGAAATAGGAATTAAATGTTAAAGTTACTTCTTACCTAGCTCAGTAGAAAATAATGTTATTTTCTTCAAAATTCAGATTAGCATTTAGGCCATGAGAGATGAGAATCTAATCAGAAAAGTGATGCTGAAAATATCCGTATTGAATACATGGGAGAGATATGGTAAAAGAACTAATTTGGTTCTTGAAAGATAATAGGGTCATTGAAATTTGTTGATTAAAGTGAACACATTTAAACAATCATAAAACTGTAAATTTGGAGAATTTCCACTGTACTTAGCTAGTAAAATAAACCTGATCTATGCATATCAAGAGAGAGATTGAGAGAAATTCATTGAAATACTTCAAGTAAGAGAGTCATAGGTTAGGTTAGATTAGCCTAATTTTACCCAAGTAACAGATCTTTTGCTATATTTGCCTGTGGCCAAAGAAACCTTGGATTGCTCAATCCGTTTAATGGTCTTTGAAGCTTTAAGGTAACTTCTGAACCTGCTTTTGTTGTTTGGGGGAGGTCAGATGGGACGCTCTGTGTAGCCATCCTCACATCATCTTTTTATAGGCTTTCATTAGATTTTACAGTTGGAGTCTTGAGTACTTGCTGGGGTACTTAAAAGAATGTTCCAGGAATGAGACCATTACTCCCTACCTAACATCTCTTCTTTCAGGATAATGATCAGGTCAAGTATGATTTGTCTTTTTTCCATTGAAGCTCCAAGTTATATAGCTGTACCTGACCCCAGTGTCCTGAAACAAGGCCTCTCTAAGGACCCTTCAACCTGGTCTGTGGATGAAGTGATACAGTTTATGAACCAAACAGATCCTCAGATATCAGGCCCCCTCGCCGACCTCTTCAGGCTACATGTAATGTATCTTTTGATCCGGTTTTCCTGCCGTAATGCCTTTGAATGACCTCTGTGCAGGCCCTTCAGATGGATACTGTGTGGATGGTGGGGGAACCCTATCAACTGATTTTTCCATGTGTGAAAAAGGTTGTTTTTCCCAAGGTTAGATCCTGAATGGTAGCTTAATGGTTTGTTCCTTAAATGGGTATTCAAGTGCCTAATACACAAATGCCGGCCACAAATTCTCAAGAGATGATGATTGAGCATCACCACTCTCAGGTGTACCTACCCTTTTGTAATGACAGATACAAGGATCCTCCCCTCCCCCACTCCCAGCTCGGCCTCAGGACCATGAGTAGGAGGGGGTGACCACAAGCTATAACAGGGTGCCCTTCTTGTGATGATATCCAATGAATCCAGCAACTGTTTAAGTGCAGCTTTATTTTAAACAGGAACTCATGAATACCAGTCATATGCCTTTATGATATAAATTGGTTAATTAAGGTGACAAAGAATTTTAGGAGGATGCCTTGTGACTATTAAGTAATATTTTCAGTGTTTTGTAATAAGTCAAATTAGTGATCTAATATCTGAGGTATCCTTTTCAATATTCTAAGAAAATCAGTAATTAGTTTTAGCATCTAACCAGCTTCAGATAACTAACTGATTGACTTTCAACATAAAGACAGGGCTATATAGCACATTCACAGTTTGCATTGATGTTGACATATTCCCAGCCCTTCTCAGAAAGTTCATAACCGTCTGAAATTCATTTCTACCATTTATAGTTTTTGACCCTTTGTCATAGATATGTGTAGTATTTTATTCAGTACCTAGTATTTAAAATAAGATAGTTTGATGCTTATGACATTTTTTTGAAAATACAAGGTTAAATTTCCTTTTTCTTAAAATTTGAAGTAAGTTTACAAATTATCAAATACTTCATTCTACAAATTATATTTTTAATAGTTTTCAGGACGTAAATGCATATTCAGAGACTATCTGGAATGTACGGCTGCTCTTTTTTACATGTCCTTATGTATCAATAACTTGACAAATATGAAAGCATTATTAATTATGATAATTTCCATCTCTCCGTAGGAAATTGATGGCAAGGCTCTGCTACTGCTCAAGAGTGATGTGGTGATGAAGTATATGGGGCTGAAGCTGGGGCCAGCATTAAAGTTATGTCACTACATTGAAAAACTTAAAGAAGGAAAATATAATTCAAAAGTATAAGTTTAGATTGGATGTAATTCTCAGGTGTACTGATAGTTTTAATTTAAAAGTATTGTTCTTCTCTTAGAAGTTTTTGTTTTATAGAAGGTTCCTATAAAAATATTTTATCAGAATTCTAGAACTAAGTTAACAATTCAGTCTACTTATTTAAAAACCATTTAACGTGTTAGCATTAGCACATTCAGATTGGAAGCTTGTTCTTTTTCTTTTCATTATTTCATTGTACAGTTTACAAATGCATGTCATGGAGTAAACACAGAAAATCCTTTGATTTTGGTTAATCTTTATATCTAGAACCAAAACAGCTAAATCCCAAAGTGGAAAATATCAGGGATTGACAACATCTATAATTAAATCCATGAGAATTTTTCCTCAGCAGAGAATTTAAAGGTGTACCTATAGATATCATCTCTTTCTCAAATATTTTATCTGTCTGATACTCTTCAGTAATCTGTTCGTGTTCTGCCAGTTTCCAGAAAAGGGAATAGCCATATAAATTATTTTCCTTCCTTTTATTGTTTCTCTATATGTTGTATTTGTTCATATTTAAAGGAAAAAAAGCTTATAAGCTTTCATAAAGTGTTCTTATCAGTTTTTGATAAAGTTTTTAAACCTACAGGTTAGATAGCATGATAATTTTATGCAGGAGATATTTATATACTACAAGGGTGGTTTGGATGGAATCTGTTTAAAATTTTTTCAATGAAAACTTTCCGTATTTTCACTAAGCTTGGATATATAACTAGGCATTCATTTCTCACATCTCTATATGAAGATACCTGTGTCCAAATTTTTAAAAGATATATTTTATTGTGTGTGTTTATTCTTCATATGATACTTTACCATATTTATATATTCTATACCTGTAGGTATACACACAAGTAAATCTTTTTGAATATGGCACTTTGCACTGCCACGGAGGTAATGATGGACTATGTATATAGTTAGATGTTTTTATTTTGTTAAAAAAACGTATGTGCATTGTTTGTATCACTTGTACCTCTCAGCTTACTCTTCAGGGGATAAGAAACAATCCGTAGATTGGTTTTCATACAGGGAAGTTCTCTGTCCTATGCAATGTTCCTAATTAATTTGCTTAGTTCTGAGCCATTTTTTCTGCTACACTTTGAAAGATAACGTTAGTTCTGACTTAATTGAGGCTTTATTTTATAAGTTAGAACCTTCAAGAGGAAATGGTGCTATATGTTTATTGTTATTACTTTGTATAACTTTGGTGTAATGTTTATAAGCTATGAGAATTAGTTATAAAAGTATTAGCCATTTGTTGTAAATGCCAATAAAATGTTCACCAGGGGCAAGAATGTACATTTTCTTTTTAGAAAACCAAATGTTCTTTAGACACGAATGCAACTATTTAAAAAATGGCTTCATATATGTTATTCCTTATATGTTGTAAGACAAAATTTGTACTTAAAAACTCGATCTTCTTTCAAATTGTTTGTATGAAGATGCTGTACCCAGTTGAACAGTCCTCAGGTGTTTATATAACTACTATGTTTTGTAATTTTCATATTTTAAAATACAATAAAGTTAAATAACTGCAGCAATTAATATCAAAGCCTCAGGTTTGATTTATTTACTTTTGCTGCATTACATTAATGTATGAATTTGTTAGAATTGAAAAAGAGCCACTCTAGTAACTAGTTTGTGGCTTTGTATCTCCAAATACTTGAATCTTTAAATCTGCCCTGATTCTACCGGTAAACAGATGCCTAGGAGCAAAGAGCTGATTTCTTATCGGGGTCTTAAATGAGACCCAGGGGGCCTGTAAGAAGTTGTATCAACGAGCTTTATCTCTGCTCATAATACTATGGATAATGCGAGCATGCTAGAAAATGCCAGTGCCCCCTCAGATATCTCGTCCCATCTGAGTTCACACACCTGGCTGGCAACTCTGGTGGCTCTTTTACCACTGGGCCCCAGAGGCCACCTCCTGGATGCACCTGCTGTTGGCCCTCTGCCTTCAGATGGCCCAGCATACGTAGCGGGATACCCTCGGAGGATCAGGGTTACAGTTGAGTAGCCTTAATTACCCGGACTCCAGGAGCTGCTGCTCCATGCCCAGGGCCCCAGAAACTCTTAGTGCCGTTGCTGCTCAGCGGTGTGCCCTGTGGTTCACTGAAGACAATGGGCCCCTGACTGCGGCTCCAGGGATGATGATCAACGGGCTGGAACAGGGATGCAAACTTGAGTGGTCTGAGACTGGGGTGATTTCTCACCGTTGGAATGTCTCATAGTACGTGTTCTAGAGTGGGATTTCCCACACTGTTAAACCTAGGCGTCCTGTGGGCATAAAAATGCCATGCCCTTCTGTAATGATTGAAATTAAGACGTGAATATCGTGCCTAGTAACAGTGTAATGAGAAAAAGCGCTGCTTTTTCATGCTACAGAAAGGATTGTACTCACAGTTGGCTGAGTAAATGACATAGGTTTAAATTTCTGGGGGCTCTTTCTACAGCTTGATGCTGGGACTTGTGTACAAAGTCCTCTGATGCTGATCCAGGCGGAGAGGGAGAGCTCTAGGCTAGAAAGGATGTACAGATGGGCGCACCATTGCAATGCGTGGCAGACAGTCTTTCTTCCTCTACCTCACTGCTGTTTGCCCCGTTTTGTGCATCAGGTTGATGAAATTGAACCTTGAGAGCAACTCCCCATAGTAAGGACATACTCGGGCTGAGCTTGGCCACTCCCACTGCGGAACTAGAGGCAGCTCTAATGTTAACGCGTCGCCGTCTCTGGCTTTAGGAACACTATCAGCACTGAGCGGAGATCCTTAAGAAATAAGGGACCTGACTCCTAGGACCCCTTGAGCTGCCTAGAACATAACTGAGATGAACCAACATTCACGAAAAGGGGAACCTCAGGACGCTTGTGATAGACCATGTGAGTCAGCCCCAAGTGACAATAAGCGGTGTGTCACAATGCTTCAGTAGTTGTGTGTCCCATTCTTCAGCCAAAGAACCAAAGCACTTAAGCACCTTTATTTGTGGAAATAATCCCTCGGGGCAAGGGGCCGGCCAGGCCAGGGTTATGGCCTCTG